AAACCCTCACGAGACACAACTCGTCCACTAGGGTGACCTAGGGGTTTAAAGGCTTGTTGCACATGCTAAGTACAATCGTGATTCCTACGAAAGTGAGTTAGATTTTATTTTTGTTTCTTTTGTTTTTTTATTTTACTTGAGGACGAGTAAAACTTAAGTTTGAGGGAATTTGATGAGCTAAATTTATATACATATTAATAAAAATTTTTTATTTTAATATTATTGATATTTTGATGAATTTTATGGGATTTTGTTTGATTTTACATGGTTTTCATTATTTGTGTAGGAATGGATTTAATTGGAAGAAATCCTAGTTTTTAGAAGTAAATTGAAGAGATCAGAGACTTGAGGATCAACTTGTGCAGAATCCAGAAGTCAGGAACCAAATCTGCTATTTTACCATTCAAGAAATTGCAAAAGGAGACCAAAAACCCGACACGGGTGTAGTGTCGACACGTAACCGAGGTGTTGACACCATGCGCTAAGCGTCTAGAATCAGATTCTGTTTCCTATTTTGTGTCAACACGTAATTCAAAATGTTAACACCATGCGATCAGCATCTAAAATTCAATTTCCTATTTCTATTCCAAGTCCTACTTCTATTTTAATTAGGGTTTCTAAAATCCTATAAATACCCAGAGAGCTCTGGGAGGCTTGTGGCAGCCCTCTTTTGGGCATTATTGGAGATCGAGATTGAGGTTCCATCAACAATAGAAGATTAATGAGTTTGATTTCCTCAAATTGAGTTTTATTTTTCCTTGGGTTTTTATCTATTGTTTGATATTTGAATGTTCATAGCTTTAATTTCATATTTTATTCTTTTTATTATGAACTGATTTATTTTATTAAGGTTATGATGTAGCCTAATCAATTCAATATAGATTTTGTGATTTTATATTTTCAATTAAAGTTATTTGCATGAGGAGTTTATATTATTGAACTTAATGCATTGGAAGCCTGATCATCTTTCAATTGATTTAGTGATTTATGCATGAACTTGAGAAAGAATTGCGTAAATTAGACCAATAATAATATAAACCGTGTGCTACACTATGAGACCGAAAGATAATTAGCTCACATGTGGTAGTGGAGGAAGAGAAGAGAGTTAGTAGCTCCCCCTTCTTAAGTTAGAGATTTCCATAGAATCTAATGCTCATTAGTTTGTTTAAAATTACATAGAGATATGATTAATTTAAAAAACTAGTGAAGGATTAACTTGACTTGAGAAAGCTAGTTAATTAATATAGGGAAATCCGCCATCACATGCAATAACATTCAACAATTTGGTAATCCAGAATTTATATTGATTGATTATGGTGAAGTCAATGCCTTAGTACCT